AAAAATAACAAAGATAAAATATGTTTATGTTTGATCAAAATTTAGNTTTATTATATGTATGCACAATACATATCATTTTTATGTGTTTATAAATGTTAGAATACACGTTTAAATATTAATTCGATTAAAACATATTTAATTATTTATTCCCATGCTTGGCGTGGGTCAAAATCTATTAAAAACATTAAAAGAGAATGTCAAAAGAGTAGATGACACATGACATCATCTCATGATTTAGGATTAGAAAAATTTTAAAATATTATATAAAATATTAATTAGGCAGTGGTTCATAATGCCAAAACATAAAATGCTTGAACGCTCTATTCAAACAAATAACTAATTGTATTAGCTGATGCTATATATATATACATCACCTAATAAATTGAGAAAAACAAAAAATCTGAAATACATACAGTATATAGGTCTGAACAAAGGGAAAGTTTGTAACCGTGAGGAGAAACATTACCATCACCGCCTGCCCTTGCTTTCAAGCATCCAAAGCATAAGCGTTAGGCCACATTATAATTAAGTGGAAATAAGGCCACATGTCAATAATTATATGTTAGTCAAATGTCTTTGTTTCAGTTATTTCCTTTAACTTTGTTTGCTTTAAGCATCCAATATATTGTCATTTTAGTCAAAACACTTCATGGTATACTCGAAAACAAATAACTTTAGAGCATTTTTGATGGGAAAGACTCATTAGGGTTCTAACCAATTTAATATAAATTTATTTAATATATTTTAATATAAGAAACTCACCTAAAATTTTCACCTCCAATGGTGAGAGAAACTCAAATGGATCTCTCATCAATATAATTTTAATATAGCAATATTTCATTAATTATTTTTAACATATTAAATTATATTTCAAGCCATCTATAATATATGAACAAATATAATAATACATAATTTTAACAAAAATATCAAAATATAATTTTTAGTTTTCATATTTCAGATTTTTTTAAAATTAATATATTAATATAGTTGTATTAATTAATCAATAGTAATTTTATATAATTGTATTAACCTTAATTGATATAACATAAGTTATAATATTAATATGTAATTAAAACTTATGCAGGTTGAAAAAAAAAATCTTATGCATAATGAAACTTGATAGATAGATAATTTTATTTTATGATTTATAGAAAAAATATGAATTTAAAATTACAATAGATAAACCATTTAATTATTAAAACAAATTATAATGTACTTGATTTATGGGGCAATTACAAAAATGCCACTTTTTATGTGCACAATAATGCCACTTAGGGGTGTCTATTTGCAAAAATACCACTAATTATAGATTTATAAAACCTATATCTTAAAATTCTAAACCCCAAAAAATGTTTTGACCCCTAAAACCCTCGTAACTAAACCTTAATAGAACATAATTAACCCAAACATAAATGATATAAAAATTTTTTTTTTTGAAAAAGTGACATTTTTGTAAAGATTTCAAAAGTGTGGCATTTTTGTAAAGTGGCACTTGAAAAGTAGTATTTTTTGAAATTTCTCTTGATTTATCATATAAGAATCTAGATCACTTATATAATGACAGGAGTTTCTCATAGAGTTCTAAGTTTAGAACCGATTCTCCTAAAAAAAGAA